TCTTTCACTTTTCATGACAGTGTACATAGAATCATGAGTTTTAAATTTTTGAAGTTTCTCTATTTTGTTGCTGTTTGTGCTTTTGGTGTCATATCTAAGAATCCATTGCCAAACACATCATAGAGATTTTTTTCCTATCTTTTTTCTAAGTGTTTCATTGCTTAAGTCTTAAGTTGAGATCTTTGATCCATTTTCAGATAATTTTTGTCTATGCCATAAGGTGGGGGGGTGGGAGGGTTCAACTTCATTTCTTTGCATTTGGCTATGCAGTTGTCCCTACAAATATGAAGACTCATTTGTTGAAAAGGCTATTGATTCTCCCTTGTGTGGTCCTACTACTCTTTTGAAAATCAGTTGATGATAGACTATATGTGTATGATAGACTGTCATTTCTACTACACTGATTTACACATCTGCCTGAGCGGCTGGGATGTGAAGAAGAGACTGTGGTTTCAGTTTTCCCTTATGCCATTATCACACTGTGTTGATTATTGCTGTCTTGTGTTAAGTTTTGAAGTGTTGTTGTTGTTTTAAGGTTTTTTCATTTTTTTTTTAAATGGAGTTTCTTGCAGTTCCCTATGAAATTTATAATCAGCTTGTCAATTACCACAACAAAGTCAGCTGAAATTCTGACAAAGATTGTGTTGAATCTCTATGTCAATTTGGGGAATATTACCATCTTAACAATACTAAGTTTTCCAGTTTTTGAACATGAGATGTTTTCCACTTACTTTGACTTTCCTTAATTTCTTTTTACAGTTTTCAGAATACAATGTTTATACATCTTTTGTTAAATCTGTTTTCCTAAGTAGTTTTTTTTTGAAGCTGTTGTAAATGGCACTGTTTTCTTAACTTTATTTTCATATTGCTCATTGCAAGTGTGTAGAAATACAACTGATTTTTTTATTGTCTTTGTACCCTATAACTTTAGTAAACTTGTTTATTAGTTTTAATAGCTTTGCTGTAGTTTTTTTTGGATTTTATATATACAAGATCATGGCATCTGCAAACAGAAATACTTTTTCATTTTCCTTTCTTATCGGGACACTTTTTATTTCTTTTTCTTATTTTTTTTGACTAGAAGCTGGAGTACAATATTAGAAGTGTCAAGAGTGGGCATCATTATCTTGCTCCTGATTTTATGTGGGGAAGGAACACATTCACTCTTTTATCGCTAAATTGACATTAACTGTGGGAAGGGAGTGTTCAGTATTTTAATCAGTGATGAAGTTCTTAGGAGAAAAAGATCTGTGCTTACAGTTCTTAGTGGTCAAAGATGGTTACTGAATTATATTTGACAACGAACCTTATTTTGTTCATAAAGCTGGTGGGCGGGCTCTGTAGAAATTGATTGTAAGGATTCCATTAAACTGAAGAACAAATTTGGAGCGTGATTGGCAGTGCAGCTCTAGGAAGATGGGATGTCTCTATCACTTTGGGAATTTTAATAAGCTAAAGAAAATAGGTAGTTGTGATAATTGATTATTGTCAGTCAGAAAAGAGGGCAAGCATGTAGGAGTGAATCACATCCTTGTAAAAGCATTTACATTTCAATTCTTCTCAGTTTGAGCAACAGTTATGTGAAATTACTGTATCTGCCACTTAGCGGTTCTTCATCTCATCAACCCCTTTTCTTAGCTCTTACTTATATCTGCCATTTACATCATCAGTGGTAACTTAAGGCTTGACACTTTCAGAAGTTCCACATCCATACTGCATTTAGTTAATTGGTTATTAATGGGCTGGGAAATTATGAATATTTGCTCCTTTTCTGGCTTGTAATGGGGTTATTTTAAAAGACTAAGTATGGTATCAATTTTTCCAATTGGTTGGGTTATTGGAGTGACAAGTAATTTGGTTCCGTGCCCTTGGGAATAATAAAGTGCTGTGTGAGATTTTCCCAATGATAAAAGGAACTTTCTTAATATTCAAACCAAGTCTGTCTGTTTAGGAGTTTGCAGTTGTTATTATGGTTACTGTTAGTATTTTAAAGGTCAAATTTACTTTAGGGTAACCTGAAATTGTAGTCTTTTCCTCACATCCCAGCCATTCAGGCAGATTCACCAAAGAAAATAGTATGTGGAAAGTGCAATTCTTAAAGCTTTTCGGGCTATCTTGTTACGTTCCTTTGGTTTCACATCTTGGAATTTAGTAGAGGATGAAATGAACAAGTATATATTTTAACCTATAAACATTTAACTTTGCTGCCATCTAGAGGCAGATATTTTATAATGTGCTCTTTAATAAACTCCCAAATGCTGCTTCCGAGGATGTGGAACAAAAAAAAAAGGTGGATGGTTTTTTGTATATAATTCTTATGTGCCTTCCGTAGCATTGTATATTTCCTAGGGGGTGCTCAGCACGCATTATGAGATTAAAAGGTATTTGTCTGCTACTAAGTGAATCTGAATTCTGCTAGAAGCTGCCAATGGATTACCTCTTGACTGAAGTTGGCTGCATATAAAATGCTGAGGATGTAGAATAATCTGAATAAAATACAGGTACCAGGATCTTATTTTTTAAAACATGATTAAGAATATAAAAGCAGAGTTTAGTGGGAAATATTGGTTTACCAAAATCTGTGTCAAAATACATCCATAAGAATTTTAGTTACAACAGCTCACATGTGGTTCAGTGAATCTGCAAGCACGAAGTGGCCCTTCCTGTGAGGGAGTGTCTCACAGGTAATTCCATGGAGAGCACCCAGCATCTTCTCCAGATGTCTAATCTTTTGAAATAAAATACAAATTGGCATCCCTTATCCAAAATGCTTAGGACTAGAAGTGTTTCAGATTTTTTCATAGTTTGGGATATTTTCATATCCATAATGAGATATCTTGGGAACTGGGCTTAAGTCTAAACATGAAAGTCATTATGTTTCCTGTATACCTCATACATACGGCCTGAAGATTATTTTATTTTATAAGATACTCTTAATAATTTTGTACATAAAGCACAGTTTGCATATATTGAACCACCAGAAAGCAAAAATATCAGGTGTGGAAATTCTCACTTGTGGCATCATGGTAGTGCTCTAAAATTTTTGGATTTTGGGGTGTTTTCGATTTCATGTTTTCAGATTTGGAATACTCGACCTGTATCATAACTTTAGGACTGGAGCATCAGGTCATGGCATAGCAATTTGAATGTACTGGAAACTTCTGTGGCCTAAGAGTTATAATTGACCATTTGTTAGAATTTTTAGCAGTGTTCTAGGTATGGTTCTGAATGGTTTACTTCATGCTTCTGAAAACATCAGTGTACTTTGTCTTTTTTCCGTGTTCTAGAAACCAAGAATATTAGAAAAGATGAATCTCAGGAAATTAGGTGTTTTATGGAAAGATTTATCACAGATATTCTTAAAATCTTCTTTAGAAGTTTAATTAACCTTTATACTGATGATAATTTTAAAGTGCTATCTGCTTTGTATGGCATCCAGTTCATAATGAGACATTTTAATTGTGAACTAATTATAAATCGTAAAACATGAACCACTACTTCCTTAGCAGCTTCATAAACTGTTAGTTGATTTTCAGAAGACTAGTGTGTGTGTGTGTGTGTGTGTGTGTGTGTGTGTGTGTATAATATTTTATTTTTTCCCTGAAAAGCTCTATATATGCAAACCTTTATTAAAGGTATTTTTGATCCAATTTAAGCTGCAGTTTTGTTTATGCCATATTATATGCATTCAGGCAGACTATATATTTTACGGGATAATTTGACAAACATAGTATTATTTATTTTAAGATAATTTATTGAAAAATTAGGTTTGATAATTAGCTGATATAAAGCTGACAGTGTAAAATAATTGTAAAAGGGAAAATGCTACATTTTGATACAATATCAGTACTGTTTGAACAAGAGAAGAAAAGTTCTTAGACTATAACAAAATAGCTTGAAAACATTTTCTGAAGTGAACATGACTGTATGATTTGTTTGTAGTGAGAAAAGCATGAGATCATTGTTTTCAAATAGAACCAGTGTTTATCTATTGGCAATCATAGTACATGTAACCAGTTGATGCATAGCTGAATCCTCCCTGCCTACCCAGACAGAGGAGGTAACTGGATGTTATTTACATTAGAAAATGGTTTCAAATCGTGTGTCCTCCTTGATTTAAAATAGTAAAGTACAAATATGTGATGAGTGACTTTTCAAATATGTTTTCTAACTTTATTGCAGGAAGAGGTTGTCGGAAAGATTAGTGGACAAGTCTGTGAAATACAATCCCTGTGAATGAAATGAAAATGCTTAAATAAATTTTTTTTCAATGTAATCTTCCATATAACCTGTGTCCTGTGATTCCATGGAGAGCCTGTCTTAATTTATGGATAAAAACTTAAATGCACATATGAACTTGAGATTAAGTTAGGAGCATATAAATTATGACTTTGTAAAGACTTTACTTTCTCTGAAATGAAAGACCTGTGTTATCTATCTAGTTCAATGCTTTTGCTCATCACTTCCCTCTGTTTTGAGTTCTTCCCACTCCTTTGCTAAAATGTTGGCTATTCAATACTCAAATCAGTACTGCCACCTTGTGATACTTTTTCTTAATTTCATCTGGCCAAATTCTTACTCTTTCCCTTGGGCACTTCGTATCTGTGACTTACTGGTTTGGTCTTCCTTATATACGCACATCTTTTATCCCCTTGTTTTGATTAGAAGCTCTTCCAGGGTGGGATCTATGCTATTACACTTTAGTCTTTATCTTAGTGGTCTCTTCTGGATATTTCTTCAATGCATTTGAATAGCAGAATAGTTAACATGACTGATGTCCATGATCAGCCTCAAAAACTAAATTACTGTCTACCAAAAAGGAAATAAAAATTATTTTGTGGTTTCTGTTTTATCATTATAAATCTATTGCCTGCCTTGCCAACACCACTGAAAATGTATTAGTTTGAGGAATTAGAATGAAATATACTTTTCTCCCTATTTTATATTTAGTGACCATTAAAACACATTTTCATGGTTTCTTTATCTCTTTATCTTTGCAGCTTTTGTCATTTCTTCAGGGTTTATTTACTTTTTACCATGAAGGATATGAACTTGCCCAGGAATTTGCACCGTATAAACAACAGCTGCAGTTCAACTTGCAGAATGTAAGAGTATACCTGTTCTTACTGTCTCTCAGCAAACCTGATGTTACAGGGCAACTAAGTTATAACCAAGTCAAACCTTGGAATCTTTCAAATACTTGTCTGTGTGCAGTAAAACCTCAAGAACTGGGAAAATACACTTTATAAATGTATTACAATTTTTTTCTAGTAGGAAATAAACCCCACAAAACCCTAATCTTATGTTACAAAAATTCATACTAGCAAATTTTATAAAAATAAATGTTACCCAGTTACAGACACCTGAAAGTTTTTTACCTTCATCCAATATTCTTGTTAATTTACTGGGTGATGCAGGATGAATAAGTTTGGAGAGCCAAATTGCAGAATGGTGGCTATAGTTAATAATACTCTGTTGAATACTTGAAATGTGTTAAGAGTTTAGGACTTAAATATTCTCAGCATACACACACGGTAACTATGTGGTGATTGATAACTTGATTGTGGTAATTTCATAATGTATACACTTATTAAAACATCACATTGTACATATTAAATGTACAATTTTTATTTGTCAGTTATACCTCAAGAAACTAGAAAATACTGGAAATAAGAAAATAAGACCTTAGAGAAGTCTTATTTTTAAGAGCAAAATTTCTATATTTGTGAAATGGAGGATTCTACTTTGGTATCAAATGGTCTCTCGTTCTTTGAAATTGCATGTAAAATATATGCTGTTTATTATTTTCAAATAACAGGTTTAAACGTGGTTTTGAGGCGTTCAGAATAACTGCTTTAAAACATAAGCAAGAGATCTTTTTGTTGTTCATGGGCATGATGATCGGGTGTCCATGTGCACGTGTGAGATGTGCAACCCTCAGTACCTTCTTAAAGTCTCAGCACATTACCCGTCTGACTTGGAAAAAAAAAAAAAAGAGAGAGAGAGAGAAAAAGCAAATATTTTATAAAGTGAGAATTATTTTCAAACAGGCCATCTATTTCTATCAGAATTTATTTTGTGAAGTTGTCTCATCAGTCCTTTTCATCTCTAATTCTATAGTTATACAAATTCTGATGTTCAAATGCAGAACAACACTTGCATTGAAGTAAAAACACACCCAAAAGCTTAGCCCGCCCATTTCACATTATCAAACCTGACACGTGACGATGTTCTAATTGTTGAGGTTTTACTATAACTGAAACCCTGACTGCCAACCACTATATAGCTAAAATAACTTGGAAAACCTTCACTTAATTTTCTATAAAGTATGTTTTTCTGCTTATCTGGTTCTTGACATTGTGGAAATGTCCAGTAAATAAAAATATAGTTAGAATGTCTCATACGAAATAGTTAAGGGGATTTATTCATTTGTGTTTTGAGTTTTAGTTTTTATTTAACTTGCAGAATCAATTTCATCTTTCATTCATTCCATTGTTTTTCAATATGGAATGTATTTAGGCTTTTTCATCCACTATTAAAAGGGAAAATTATAAAAGCTGAAATACTTTTATCATTTACTTCCACATTAAATAAAATTACATTAAGATTCTTAGGATTCAGGAACAGAAGAGAGGTAAGGAATTGGGTGGAAACATCAGACCCTTATATTTGAAAGACAAAAATAGTGAAAGTGACAAGAAAATTTTCCAAAATTGGACATTTTTTTTTTAATGGGGCACAAACTCTTAGAGTTAGGTGGTAGTGATTATTATATCTTCAGGAGTATATTTTTGACGTAATGCCAAAGAGGTATTCGTAGAGAAAAGCCTAATTCTTTCTATAGCTTAAATAAACTTAATATAAAGTGAGTAATCTATTTCTTGCAACAGAATAAGTTAGAACTTGGAAACCTATTGATTTATATGAGTTATTTTAACACTCACTTCTTAATACCTGTGCCAGAAAACCAAACTACATGATGTTTCTTCAAAAAAACCCTTTGGTACAGTGGTGACAAACTTTTTTTCTTCATATGTTCAATGTCACATTTATCAAAAGTATATGAACTTACTTCATTTTTTCCCTTGAAAGAAGCTAAGTCCCTGTGTATCTCTTTCTTACCTTAGGTATTTAGGGAATTCAAATTTTATGTAGTGCATCGTATTTTCTTTTAATTGCCCTAGTTTACCTCCTAAGTAATAATGTTAGAATGTGAAAATAGAAAGTCGCACGCACACACTCACTCTCACACACACACACACACACACACACAACACGAGAGAGAGAGAGAGAGAGAGAGACAGAGACAGAGACAGAGACAGAGAGATTCAAAGAGAAATACGCAGAAGGTTGTTCAGAGAAGCTTTTACGAAATCAGTTTCAGATCAGGCCTTGGACCCAAACCAGAAAGTCACAGATGTGGTAAATAGTGCCAAAAGAATCAAGGTCATCACTGTAAAATTTGAGGTTTTGAAACATTATTCTGGGCTGGTTAGGTGGCTCACACCTGTAATCCCAGCATTTTGGGAGACAAACAAATTGCTTGAGCCCAGGAATTTGAAACCAGCCTGGGAAACATAGTGAGACCCCCATCTCTACAAAAAATGAGCCGGGTGTGGTGGTGTGTGCCTGTAGTCAGCTGCTTGCGGGGGCTGAGGCAGGAAGATCACTTGAGCCCAGGAGGTCAAGGCTGCAGTGAGTCATGATAGTGCCTGAGTGACAGAGTGATACCCTGTCTCAAAAATAAATAAAAACAAAACAGAACATCAGTCTGGGTGTTCCTGAAACCTGGTAGAATACAATGACTGAAATTATTGTTTCTGTTTACTTAAGACAAGGAATAATTTTGAAAGTACTCGACAAGAGGTAGAGCGGTTGATGCAAAGGATGAAATCTGCCAACCAGGACTACAGACCACCCAGCCAATGGACGATGGAAGGCTATCTGTATGTCCAGGAAAAACGTGAGTCACAAAGACGTAACTTTACGTTTCTTAGACTTCGCATTTTATTAATATTTCCATGAGATGTGACTCGGTTAGTAGTATTTCCCTCAAGTAGGAAGAGTGAAATTTCTTATAGCTTCATATCTACTTTCCCACTACCACCACCAAAGTGAGGATTTTTTTTACATTTTGCCATCAGGATGTCATATTGTTGAACTTGGAACTTAGAGTCTTCACTGACAATACCATATAACATGAGTTCAGTTTTAGCATTTAATTGTGATTCTTAATCTTAAAGTTTCATGGAAAATTGCAAACCAAAGCCTTTATTGGGATGAATCATCCTGGTGACTGCGATAATAGTTTTACCCTCTGGCAACATTATTTTATTTAATTCTGCGTCCTGTCTGTTTACAGGCATAACATTGGAAATCATGCTAACGTCAGACTGGCTCTCTTTAGTTCCTGAGGTTCGGCAATAAGTACCAAAGCCAATACAGCACTGTTGTAATTGCCTCACATGAAGAATATTTTTCTCACAAAAATAGTAAAAGCCATTCAGACTTGTGTAACTGGACTTCTTTGTGCGTGTTACTTGTCATTAAGCAGAACTAGTTGGACTATTTTTGACTACATTAACTCTTTCAAGCCAGATATGCCCTGAGGCATCATTCTTCCACTGCTTTTGGTAAAGAAACAGTTGTGTGTGTTTCCAGCCCATTGTGGACCAATGTGAAACGGCTTTTGATACACTGTACATGCAACATGGTGACTAAAATGCCAGCACATTTTATATTTGACATGCCCAAGTGATGCTCATTTGTTGGGTAGCAGGACACATGCAAATTTAATTTGATCCAGCAGACTCTGCAAACATTTATTACCATGAGGACTTGATGGCAGAGGAATACTGGCTCAGGAGATCTGGGTTTTAGGATTTTTCTCTCATAACTATCTACCTTGGCTAGTCTACTGTCTTCATATTTAAAAATGATAAAACGAGTGATCTGCCTAGGTAGTCTATAATTAGCACATAATAAGGAGCTATCACCCTCCCCCCGCCGGCCGCAGTTCATGAAAAATTACCAATCCCTTCACTCATCAATAGGAAATACAGTTTTCACTTAGCACTCTAAGGAAATTTTTATTTTATTTTTTATTGTTATGTCTTTTACTTGAGCCTGGAAAGGACTCTAAGTAAAGTTTTGAATTTTGATTTTAAATGATTTCATACAGTTTTGAGAACCTGCATGTAACAGTACATTGAGAGGAGCTCACATTTTTTTTTTTTTTTTTTTTTGAGACGGAGTTTTGCTCTTGTTACCCAGGCTGGAGTGCAATGGCGCAATCTCAGCTCACCGCAACCTCCGCCTCCTGGGTTCACGCAATTCTCCTGCCTCAGCCTCCTGAGTAGCTGGGATTACAGACACGCGCCACCATGCCCAGCTGATTTTTTGTATTTTTAGTAGAGACGGGGTTTCACCATGTTGACCAGGATGGTCTCGATCTTTTGACCTGGTGATCCACCCGCTTCGGCCTCCCAAAGTGCTGGGATTACAGGCATGAGCCACCGCGCCCAGCAGGAGCTCACATTTTATACCAAAAAAGGATTTGGCCACCTGGAAGAATTTGTTGCCAGTGAGAGCAATAAACATGCAAGTGGTAGAGGAGGTGCCATCCTTGGACTTTTTTATTTATTGTCATCTGATTATGTTTTATTTCTTGAATACTTTTCTAGGTGTTACACACTTGCTGAAATCTTTATGGGCATACAATATGTTATTCTAAACACAAAAGCTTTAGATTAGGTTACAGTATTATTTAGTACAGCATCTTCAAACATATTATTCAGTCCTGCTGTTCTCAAGCTGTTGGACATTTGGGTCAGTCTATAAGCATAATTTATATATTCCATAATTTGGGGGCTACATGGATGGACTAAACAGAGTGTTTTGTGCATTTACCTGATGTTGGTATCTTTTGTTGTAAGATGCCTAACTTCTCTGGGTCATTCTGGACTGATGATAAAGCCCTTTGTGGTACTGATCTCTCCTCTGAGTTGTGTTTTTTTTTTTTCCTTTTAAATCTCTCTTAGTGGTACCACTTACCGTCCTAGGCTACAGGAATCCAGGCAATCCATTCTTAGCCCAGCGTCTCTATAGCCTTGGGACAAATCTGTCTATTCTATCTTCTTAATATCCTTTGGTTCCATACCTTCTCTCCATCTCCACTGCCTTAGCCCAAGCGAGACCCTTGCAGTGACCTCCTGACTTCTTCCCCTCTACCTCCAGGCTTGCCCATCATCTAATCCATCTTCTACTGTGCTTCCAGCAGTTCCTTCTAAAATGCTTCTTTGATTATGCCCCTGTTGTCATGGCCCCTTAGCAGTGTCTGAGTTGGAGGGTCTCACAGTTACATTCTCCTTAATTCGCATTCTGTTCGTTGATATTTATTTCCTCCCCAAGACAGTTTCCATCTTGATTTGATGTGTATCTCCCTGCATTATTTTTACTGCTTTATTGGGGCTAATTGGCATAAATTAATTGCACTTGTTTAAAACATGCAGTTTGATGAATTTTGCCATATGCATGCACCTGTGAAGCCATCATCACACTACAACATAATGAACATATTCATCACCTTCAGAAGTTCTCTCTTGCCCCATTATGATCTCTTCCTCCCATCTTTTCCCACCTATCATCTTCCCCATTCCCTTTTCCAAGGGATATAAAGAAAAAGGAAATATATTTATATGCTTTGGGGATTATTTTTATATGAGGAGCCAATATGCAAAGCCCCTTCTAACTTGGGATCTTTGAAAGCATTTACAATAAAAGCAATCTAACCAGTTTACCAAGATGTGTCGATTATGTACTTGCTATCGCTAGGTGGATAAGTTCTGTGGGGGACAAAAATGAGATAATTATTTGGCTTCAAGGTTTATATTCTGCAGTTGAAAGCATAAGACGCACTTACACAATTAGCAGCCAGTGATCAGTAGTAGGTATCAAAGCCATAAACTGAGTGATAAGTGGAGATGGATGTGATGGTGTAGGCTTAGCTCATTGTCTGGATACAGAGTTCCACTTTATCTGAATCTGTGGTGTTTGTGTTACCACCTGGAGGCATGCATTAAATCACATTCTGTTAAACTTCAGTGTAACTGAAAGAGCAGGGATTCCAGAGTCAGACAGGACTGTGTTGGGATTCCATGCCTGTGCTGACCTGTGACTTGTGCCAATAATTTTCTGAGCTCAGTCTCTCTTCATTTATAAAAGAGAGAGATTTAAACCCATGTCATAATGATACCGCAAGAATTAGAGATATCATATGTAAAATGTCTCTATACTCAGTAATATCAAAAATACTGTACTTACTATGAGTTCTTATTATTCTTTGCAATTTATCTCATTTAATTCATAAAACAACTCAAGCGTATTATTTCTCTAAAAAGAATAACTTTTGTCCCATGCCCTATTGATGAAAGTATTGTCATCTGTAGGTCACAGGCCCAGTTTTGTTAAAATTCTCTTTATAATGTTTGTTATAATAGGCTCTCAGATAAAATATGGGCACTTAGTAAGTATCAAATGAATGTTAATTTCCCTTCCACACTGCAAATATTCATCTCAGCCCCTTAAGTGATTGCTGGGCAAGATAATTAAACATCTTTTATTTTGCAATTTTAGAGATGTAATCAATTTTTATTTTCCCAGACACTTTTGGGGATTTTAGAATTGCTGTCTAAAACATCTGCCCTGGTCTAGTGCTAGTCAACTTTAAAGAATGCATCATGCATTTGCAGCAAACTCGAGGATTGAATGCAGGAGGTTCTGAACTTAAGATGGAGGCAGGAAAAAGGGTCTTTGGTTTAATGTCATGAGAGCACTGTAGCAGCTTTATTTTAAAATTACAGCTAATATTGCATCATAAATTGCTACCAACGTAATGAAGTCACTACATATGAAAATTTCTATCCAGTTACTTTCCACTAATTAGCTCTAAGCCTTTAAGTCTTTTACATCACATGTGACGGAATTATCAACAAGTATTATTAAGTGTTATAGTGTGAAATGGTCCCCAGATGGAATTGAATATAATATTTTGTGATTACAAAGTATATGGCTACACCCTGTAATTCTAAAATCTGAAGTGGCTTAAGTATTAAACTTGATACCAAGGGCATTATTATGAAAGAAAAAAAAATTAAATGGCTCATGAAACACTTTATCTCAAGAGGTACTTTTTTATATTTCAATTTCTTTCTTTTAAACATGGTTCTGAAATGAAGCCAGCAATAGCATGTGCATAGTAGCTGCTAGAAAAATTCAGGTGTTAAGCAAGATGGGTCCCTGGATGGAGGTGCTATTAATATATAGAAAATAAGCACCATTTTCAATCCACTCAGCCCACTCTGGTGTTTGGGTGCAGGATACTTTGCTTCCCTGTGGGGAAACTGAAGGTCTTCCACCTTGGCCTTGGAAACATTGTACTAATGATGCATTCTACTCTCTGGCAAATTCGCTAAGAATACTGGACAATAACATGGGTGCTATGGAAAAGGGTTACATGATATTTTGTGGGGAAAAGAAAGTGAACATTACACATACAAGTTTCTTCTAATATAGGTAGTGGAAATTATTTACATTTTAAAGAGCAATTTGAATTTGTTTTTTCCAGATTAGGAGTAAGAGGAAATCACTCTAAGGTCAGTAAAGTCTTAGAACAAGGTACTTGATTCATTCCTTTATTCATTATTCATTTGATGCCATTGACTGACAACTATATGTCTGGCTGTGTTGTAAGGACTGAGAATTCTTATTCTAGGCAGCTGAACATCACATGTTTCTGCTGACATAGATTCTTAAAATCTTGTGGCAGAGAGACACAATAAATGGGCTAAATCAGTTTTAAAAAATCTTATTTCAGACAGTGATAACCACTAAGAAGAAATGAAAGCAAGGAAGAGCGATAAGTATCAAGGTGAGGGTGTTTAGATATTAGATATCTCTCCAGGAAAGGTCATATTATGTAAGTGACATTTAGGAGAAAGGCCAGAAGGGAGGTAACAGCGCAAGTCACGCAGTTATCTAATGGAAACATAGTCCATGCCTGGGAAACAGCAACTGCAAATGCCCTAGGGTAGGAATGCCTTCACTGTGTTCAGAGACCCACAAGGGGCCAGGGTAGCTGGAGTGGAGTGCACAAGGCTGAAAGCAGTGGGATGTGAGACCGAGGAAAGCATGGGAGGCCACTTACTTGGAACCTTGTGGATAATGGGTTCTTTGATTTTTATCTGGAGTAAGATAGGAGGGCACTAGAGGGTTCCGAACAAAGAAGTGAATGACCTGGCTACATTTTTAACAGAATATTTCTGACAGCTTTGAGAGTAAAGAATACAGGTAGAAGTACGGAGACCATTTTTAACAGTTCAGACTCTTATTCCTCATTCTTCCTGACTATGGGATACAAGTATACCACTTTTACAGATGGGATACCTGAAGTTCCTATCTAAAGTAACTCACCCAGTTTTACAAAGTAGGTGTCAGAACTGCAAGTAAAGCCACGTTGTCTGATTTTAAAACACTCCACACTATAGCACTGTCCCTTTGTTCTTTCTTATGCACAGTAAATACTACAAACTAGCATGGTATATGGAGATACTCAATGGTGTATCATAACACTGGAGAGTGTGCAAACGTGGATACAAATCATTTATTAACAAAATCTGAAATACTTTTTTTTCTTTACATTAGGACCACTTGGTTTTACATGGATTAAACATTATTGTACATATGATAAGGGAAGTAAAACATTTACAATGAGTGTTTCAGAAATGAAATCCAGTGGGAAAATGGTGAGTTAGCTTTGTTTTTTGTTTGTTTTTTAAACTGTTTGTTATTTAAGAAATGGAATTTTAAAAAATCATGTTTGTTTCTCTGGTTAACATATACACATTTACAAAAAAAAGAAAAAGTCAAATATTTTCTCTCATTTTTGTGACCTGAATGACTTGAAAAGAGTAGCCAGGGCTTTCCTTTAACTTAGCCATGACATATTTATGAGCAGCTGAGTTAAATATAGGGATCCTTCGGTAGATTACGGAGGTGTCATCTCACATTTCCGGCAGCAGAGTTATTTGTCTATGCTGTGGGTTGGCTAGCAGCCCAGGAAGGGACTGTCCATGGCTGGAGCAGGCTCAGAGATTCTGTATCTTTCCCTTGGGTGGCCTCTTGGGGAGGCTACATTTGTCCCTGCATGGCTTGTCCCCTTCTGCACTGCATACTCTGCCAAAATGCCGGCTAACAAGGTTTCTCAGAAGAAACAAATAGATGCTCACTTACCCCAAAAGTAAATTGGTTACTGAATGTCTCACATAGCGAGTGAACAGTATAGAATACAGTGTACTTTGAGGAAATGCTACAGAGAGCTTTATTGTCTGTAGCATACAATCTTCTTGTGAGTTAAGGTCACGATATGGCCAATGATTGAACTTGTGAATTAATTAGGTCACAATCTAAATATCCTAGAGCTGGGAGTTAACGCTAAAGATAATTTAGTCCAGCCTTATTTTAACCGATTAAGAAATAAAGTTAGTAGAAAGTAAGTGCCTTGCCCAGATAATTAGTGGTATAGATCATGGCAGAGGTAAACGTGGATCTAACTTAGACACATACTCAAATACGTCATTAGAAACTTATTGTACTTGGGCATTCATCAGAGTCTAATAATTCAAACTGAAACATAAAGGGGAACATAGCAGAGAAAAAGAAACAGTTGCTACTATCATGGAAAGTTACTATGTGCCATAACACACCTAGTTTCTGCTCTCATAGGTACTACCGTAAAACCAACTTATGTGTCAGTGAGTAAGCAGACCAAGCCAAAGGTCTTTTAATAAATTGATGACATTTGCAACCAAAGATAAAAATAACCATACATTAGGTAAACGTTCCCCTCAAAATAGACTGGCATCTCAGTTACAGAAGAGAATTTCTAAGAATGTGGCCTATGTTGGATCTTGTCCGGAGAGTCGGTTTTAGTAGCAGAGTAGCAGTGTGTTACCAGCAAAACATTCGAATGGTGTTAGATTGTTGCAAAAGTAATTGCATTTTTTCCCCATTATTTTTAATGAGAAAACCACAATTCCTTTTGCACCAACCTAACATATGTGATAGCAATAGCATTAAATCATGTATATACTGGAACTATATTATTTTGGTAGTTCTCTTGTAATCCTGAGCTAGCTATCATTTAAGACTCTAATACAAAGACACACACATGACACTAATCTCTTTGCAATCCAGGGAGTTTTGATTAAGAGCAACAAATGTTGTTATCACTCTGTATATCCATTTCTGATGTTAGGTGACTGGGTAACTTTATACCTTTTTAAATCTAAGTTCTGAGGGAATGTACATTATAGTATAAGTTAACACCGTTAAGTAAATATGTTGAAGGTTACTGCACAGGCATGCTACCAAATTTTTTTAGATAAAACGTTATTTGCCATTAATTAGCAAATGGTTTCATGTATTGTGATCAGACTGCTAATGTTAGAAATAAAAAGGACAGGGTATGATGTGATCTTTATACATAACCTATACTCTGCTAAACATTTTAATATGGCAACTTGAGCACAGGTATTTAATATGTTTCAGTTCACCTTGTCAGCATGTTAAAACTGTGGTACTCTTCTTGTTTCAGAATGGCCTTGTTACTAGCTCACCGGAAATGTTTAAATTAAAATCTTGTATCCGACGAAAGACAGATTCAATTGACAAACGATTCTGCTTTGACATAGAAGTAGTTGAAAGGTTTGACCTTTTCACTTTATTTTTCTTAATAAGCTAAAGGATGTTTCTTTCTGTATTTAAAAATAAACATGAGACAGCATTCAGGTGTTTTCTAGTCTTTAAAAAATCAGTATACATGTTTATTTCATTCTTTCATGTTGTTATTGCATGATAATTTCAAGAAAGCAAGTCAGATCCAGGATGCTAGAAAAAACTAGTATCACTCAAAGCAGAAACTGAAAAATCAATGTACATGACTGTATTAGGAGAAAGGTGCATGTAGTGGCCTCGTGGTCCCCATTACGATGAAGGAATCCAATAGCATATTTCATGGCTTCAGGATCAGCCTTTTGGTGGACTTTTGAAGCTTGGTGGCCTTGCTTCCAAGGAATAAGATACAGGTGGGAATACCAAAAGCTTCTTTTAGCCAACTAAGTTTAATGCCTGTAGGATGCCGACTGTGTACAAAGCACTGTTCTGGGTATTCTTAGCCCAAAGTATTGGAAGAGATGTAAATGTCATGACTCTAAGTTTGTAATTCGATGGAATTACTTAGCTCTACTCCTTTATTGTATCAATACTAGTAGAATAAAAAGAAAATAAGGAGTATGCTTCTTGCTCTGTGCTCTAATCCATGATCCATTTTTCTTCTCCTGCATTACTACCACAATATCATGAATACCCTAGCTTATCGTATGTATCCATGTATACACTTTGTATGCGATGACTTACTATATATGCTCATAAATGATAGCTTCTAGCTACAGGTATACCTCAGAGATATTGCAGGTTAGGTTCCTATGATATCCACTTTATTACACTGGATATCATAATAAACTGAATCAGAAATTTCTGAGTTTCTCAGTGCATATAAAAGTTATGTTTATACTACACTGCAATCTTAAGTGTGCGATAGCATTATGTGTAAAAAAAATACAAATCCCTTAATTTTAAAATACTTTAAATAGTATGAATGGTCATCTGAGTCTTCAGCGAATAGTAATCTTTTTTCTGGGGAAGGATTTTGCCTCAATGTTGGTAGCTGCTAAGTGATCAGCATGGTGGTTATCAAGGGATGGGGTGGCTATGCCCATTTTCTCAAAATAAGATAGCAGTAAAGTTTGCCACATCAGTTGACTCTTCATTTCAACAAAGATTTCTCTGTACCATGCAATGTGATTTGATATCATTTTACTCAGTAGGCCTTATTTCAAAATTGGAGTCAGTCCTCTCAAACCTTGCCGTACTGCACTGTCAGCTAAATTTATGTGATACACTAAATTCTTTGTTATTTCAATAATGTTTATAGCATCTTCACCAGGAGTAGGTTCCATCTCAAGAAACTTTCTTTGCTTAGCCCTAACTCCTCATCCTTTCAAATTTTATTATGAGATTGCACCAATAAAGTTACATCTTCTAGAAGGCTCCACTTCTGATTCTAGCGTTCTTGCTGTTTTCACTACATCTGCAGTAACTTCTTCCACTGAAGTCTTGAACCCCTCCAACTCATCCCTGAGAGTTGGAATCAGTTTCTTTTAAACTGCTGTTAATTGGATATTTTGGCTTCCTCCCATGAGGGATGAATGTTCTTAATGGCCTCTAAAATTATGAATCCTTTCTAGAAGGTTTTCAGTGTACTTTACCCAGATCCATCAGAGGAATCATTACTTATGTCCGTGAAAGCCTAATTAAAAGTATTTCTTAAATGATAAGACTTGGAAGTCTAACTTATTCCTTGATCCATGTGCTACAGCATGGATATTGTGTTAGAAGGCATGAAGATATTATTCTCCAAGTAAATCTCTATCAGAACTCTTCAGTGACAGTTGCATTGTCAGTGGACAGTAGTATTTAGAAGCAAACCTTTTAATCTAAGCAGTAGATCTCAGCAGTGGCTTAAAATATTCAGTAAACCATGCTGTCAATGGTTGTACTGTCATTCAGGCTTTATTTTTCCATTTCTAGAGAACAGGTAGAGCAGATTCAGCATAATTTTTAAGAACCCTAGGATTTTCAGAATGATACATGAGTGTTGGCTCTGACTTAAAGTCACCAGTTACGTTAACTTCTAACAGAGGGAGCCCATTCCTTGAAGCTTTGAAGCCAGATAGTGACCTCTTTCTATCTGTGAAAGTCCTAAATAAGGCCATCTTCCAATAAAAGGCTTCATCTCCAGTGAAAATCTGTTTTTTACTGTAGCCGCCTTCATCTTCTGTATAACTTGCTGCAGCTTCTACATCAGCACTTGCTGCTTCATGTTACACTTTTATATTATGCAAATGGCTTCTTTCCTCAAACGTGATGAACCAACTTCTGCTAGCTTGATACTTTTTATCTACCGCTTACTCACTTCTCTCAGCCTTCATAAAATTGAAGACAGTTAGGGCCTTGCTGTGGATGAGGCTTTGGCTTAAGAGAATCTTATGGCTGGTTTGATCTTCTATCCACACCACTAACACTTTCCCCATATCAATAATAAGGTTGTTTCGATTTGCTAGCTTTTGTGTATTCACTAGAGTGACACTTTTCATTTCCTTTAAGAACTTTTCCTTTGCGTTCACAGCTTGGCTAATTGCTTGACACAAGAAACCTAGCTTTTAGGTTATCTTGGATTTCAACATGTCTTTCTCACTAAGTTTGGTCATTTATAGCTTTTGATTTAACATGAGAGACATGTGAATCTTCCTTTACTTAAACACCTAGAGGCATTGTGGGATTATTGATTGGATTAATTTTAATATTGTTATATCTCAGGGAATAGGAAGGCCCAGGAGAGGGAGAGAGAAATGGAGAAATGGCCAGTGAGTGGAGCAGTGCCACACACAACTTCTATTGACTGTTTGCCATCTAATGTGGACATGGTTGGTGGTACCCCAGAACAATGACAATAGTAGTATCAGAGATCACTGATCATACATCACATGATAGATACAATAACAATGAAAAGTTCCAAATTTTGCAACAATCACCAAAGTGTGACACAGACACGATGTGAGCAAATGCTGTGGGGAAAAGCGTGCTGATAGACGTGCTCAACACCGGTTGACTCAAGCAAACCATCAGTTTGTTAGAAATAGAATGTCTGTGAAGCTCAATCATGCAAAGAGAAATTCATTAAGGTATACCTGTATCTAGTAGGGCAATGACCCTATTCTTAGGCTGCTTTAGATTATGTTGACTCTTTTGCCCTGTATGATTTTTAAGATCCACTTATTAAGCTTCCCCTTGTCTCTCAAAATATCTTTTGGGATTTTGACTGGAGTTGCAGTAAAGTTTTCAATGGGTACAGAATTAACTTCTTGAATATTTTACGTATCTTTTTTCAGATTTACCTTTGGGCACCTTCTTTTTATTGTTATTTTAAATAGGATTCTTTTTTATGAGTTGAATTTTGGCTTCCTAAATGGTTAAGACTACTGTATAGAGAGGATATTAGTTTATTTATATGTCAAACTCTTATCTGACCTACTTGCTGAACTCTTTATTAGTTTTAATAGTTTTATGAAGAGATTTCTGGATTTTCTATATAGACGAATACCAACCTGTTAGTGCTTTCTCTTATTTTAACACATTTCAGTCATATAACCTTGGAGCACTTTATTAAACTCTATACTTAGGGTTTTATTCATCTGTAAATTAAGGATAGTAAGTACCCACCTCAAAGGATTGTTTTCAGGATTAAATGAGAGAATTAAGGAACGTAACACAGTGCCTGTCACATAGCAAATATCCAACAAATACTGATTTTCAGTATTTTATTGTTGGTATTACTACACTGGCTTAAATTCTTCAATATCAAATTAATATTTATATACATTCCCAGTTTCTTGTCATTCTCGTGATCTGTCTTGTTTGCAGAAGAGATGTAGTTATTATTTGTTTTTCATTCCAGCTTTTTAATCATAAAATATTTATAATAAAAATTTCTTCTCAATGTTCCTCTTCACAGATTTCTCCATTTTCTTTTAAGTTTATCTGTTTCTAATATTTTATGCCTCTTCTTTCAGATGCTGGTTTTCTCCCATCTTTTCTCTGCTCTTTGTTTCTTTCTTGAAGTATACGCTTAAGTAACTATTTCAGAATGACGGCATGGGAGAGGATTATTTTTAAATAAATTAATTTCAATATTGTCATCATGGCATAGAGAAATGCTTTGGTTTTAGTGTTTTTTTAAATGTTACCTAGTTATGGTATGATGCTTTCCACATTGTCACATACTCACTGAAATTGTTTTTAGTGACTAGGCTGCACCACATCAGGGTCAGGTTCTCATATTGTGGAATTCATAGATGGCTTTGAAGAATGTAACCTTTGCATCCTTTTTAATCATTTCAAGGGAAATAGTTTGATATTAGTGTCTTTCAGACAGTTCTGTAACAAAAACACTTGATTTTACCACTTGTGATCATTAGAATTAAAAACATTTTTCGCATATCCAGTGATTTTTCTGAAAGGTATTGCAATTCGATCTTTTTTTTTTTAAATTCCTATGTTTTTCTCTTTCTCTTCATTTCTTTTTTCTCTTAACTTTAATTTTCTTCAAATTTTATATTTATAGTTAACTGAGAATTTAAAAAGTAGTAAATGTATAAATATATAAAATATTTGTTTTTAATAGGCATGGGATCATCACATTACAGGCCTTCTCAGAAGCTAATAGGAAACTCTGGCTTGAAGCCATGGATGGGAAGGAACCGGTAAGACTATGATACATTCTATAATTTAGGTTTTATTGTTCTAATAATTACAAAGTATGGAAATTCTTTTCATAGAGAATATAAAATGCTTTGCCCATAGTATAGTTGAAAATATTAAAAAAGGAAATCAGAGGGGTAGATACTTTCACTGCTTTCCTAGTCTCACTCATGGCAGTAGCTCTGCCTTCTGACTTATTTTATAGGGGACTTTTAGGACTCACAAACCCTAAAGTTACTTCTTAAAAAATGACACACTCATCACCTTGGCTGGACCCATTAAGTTATCTTATTCAGTTAGTAATTACCACATGCCCAGTCTTTGCAGGGCCTGAGCTAGGCATGGATTAGAGTGATGAACAAGGTTCAGGGTAAGAACTGATCCTCTAATCAATATCACTTTTTTAAAAGCATGATTTGGGCTTGTTTGTTTTTTTCTTGTAGATCTGCTTTAGTTCTTTGTAAATTCTGGATATCAGCCCCTTGTCAGATGGGTAGATTGTAAAAATTTTTTCCCATTCTGTTGGTTGCCGATTCAGTCTACTGACTGTTTCTTTTGCCATGCAGAAGCTGTGGAGTTTGATTAGGTCCCATTTGTCTATTTTGGCTTTTGTTGCCATTGCTTTTGGTGTTTTGGTCATGAAGTCCTTGCCTACACCTATGTCTTGAATGGTTTTGCCTAGATTTTCTTCTAGGGTTTTTACGGTGTTAGGTCTGATGTTTAAATCTTTAATCCATCTGGAGTTAATTTTGGTGTAAGGTGTCAGGAAGGGGTCCTGTTTCTGCTTTCTGCACATGGCTAGAATGGGCGAAGGATATGAACAGATACTTTACAAAAGAAGACATACAGGAGGCCAACAAACATATGAAAAAATGCTCATCATCACTGGTCATCAGAGAAATGCAAATCAAAACCACATTGAGATACCATCTCACACCAGTTAGAATGACGATCATTAAAAAATCCGGAAACAACAGATGCTGGAGAGGATGTGGAGAAATAGAAACACTTTTACACTGTTGGTGGGAATGTAAATTAATTCAACCATTGTGGAAGACAGTGTGACGATTCCTCAAGGACCTAAAAATAGAAATCCCATTTGACCCAGCAATCCCATTACTGGGTATATATCCGAAGGATTATAAATCATTCTACTACAAGGACACGTGCACACGAATGTTCATTGCAGCACTGTTCACAATAGCAAAGACCTGGAATCAACCCAAATGCCCAACGATGATAGACCAGACAGGGAAAATGTGGTACATATACACCATGGAATATTACGCAGCCATCAAAAATGATGAGTTCACATCCTTTGTAGGGACATGGATGAACCTGGAAACCATCATTCTCAGCAATCTGACACAAGAGCAGAAAATCAAACACCGTATATTCTCATTCATAGGCAGGTGTTGAACAATGAAAACACATGGACACAGGGAGGGGAGCACTACACACTGGGGTCCGTTGGGGGGAAATGGGGGAGGGACGGGGGGGTGGGGAGGTGGGAAGAGATAGCATGGGGAGAAATGACAGATACAGGTGAGGGGACGGAAGACAGCAAACCACACTGCCTTGTGTGTACCTATGCAACAATCTTGCATGTTCTTCACATGTACCCCAAAACCTAAAATGCAATAAAAAAAAAAAAAAAAAAAGCATGATTTGATACAACCGCCTGTGGCTTGACATTTTCACTTCCATACGTAACCCCATTTTTTAATAGTTATTTTGAAATTGGTATGATAATCTTATAACTTATAAAAATTAGAAAGGCTTATGTGAAAAGGAGGCGGAATCATTCATCACTGTCTGTTTTCTTAAGGAGCGCTGTTAGCAGATTAGCAGAGGGTGAACACACAGAGGAAACAGGAGTCCCCATCCGGTCACTTGAGGACCATTCGTTAGATGGCAAAAAACCTGCACAACAATAGTGCCATACAAAGTGTGGTCCTCAGACTTCGAGACCCCTGCCTCAAACTGTGTTACCAGTCCACAGTAAGATCAGTACAGAAATTACGATGCAGCCTTTAGAAAATCATATAGCCACTTAGGTTATTTCAAGTCTGCTAAATTTAATTTAAAAGTTGGAATGCTGCATTGATTCTTTATTGTTTTATATTTGAATTTTATTATATTTTACACAAAGGTTAATAATAGATTTAAAAGAAAATTCACTCTCTACCTGAAATAGTTGAGAAGCCCTGACTTACAGCAAATTTAGGGAATAGTTTGTTAGTCCAGCGATGTACAAGTTAGGATTATGTACATTGACAACATGCTAAGCAGGAAGTTGGAAGAAGGATCAGTCAGGTCAAATCCATTATGAGATGCTTTCTGAGAAAGGCACATTATGCATCATACTGGGGAAGAGAGTAAGATGCATAAATCAGATGAAGGTAGAACCTTGTCCAGGGCAGCACAGCTGTGGATGGAAAAGGAGTGGGAAGTGAGGGTGGCTGAACGACAGGAAGGAAGTTGGTTGATAGTGGACACAGTTGTAGGACCTTGAAATCCAAGACACTCTTTTTGTATGTTAGTATATAAGATATCACCTTGTTGATCTTTTGTGCTGGGTCATTAACTGGAAGTAATTGATGGACATCCTTTGTTTTTTAGATTTACACTCTGCCCGCCATTATAAGCAAGAAAGAAGAAAGTAAGTCCTTTTAATAATTATTTGAAATTTTGTCATATAGTCATTTTTAACACAAAAACATGTGATTGTAAGTGAAATAGTATACCATTGATTCCAGTGAAATAATATACCATTGATCTCATGGTACAGCAAATTTGAAATTTTTATTTAAAAAGTTTCTCATGTTAAAACCACAAACTACTGGTATTACAGTAACAAAAGTTAATTTTTATTTCTTGGTGTTTATTTACATGCCATGCTTTATCTCTGATAGAGATTTGAGAAAGTTGATATTCAGCACACTTATTTATATATATAATTATATTTTATTATATATGAAATATTATATATTAACTATAATATATAATTATACAAATATATAATTATATGTTAACAAATATATAATATATAATTATATATAATAACATATTTATATATCTATATAAATATATAAAATAGTAGAGAGCTTCTTTGTCTTATTTTCTCTGCTCCAGTTTTCTTAGAAGTACAAGACTGAAGATATAAACCCTTCTTGCTGGTTTTAGTAGATAATGACCAAGAATGTGAAATATAAGGACCTTGTCATTATACATGGTATATGTAGAAAAAGATGTTTTTACTATATTATTACTGAATCATTGTTATGTAGCCATTCTTTATAAACACAGTTTATATGTTTTTTTATTGTGTTCTGAATCCTCTTTAATTACCTGCCAATTTCTTGCTACCTTTTATCTGCAGTTGGTCTAGGGTATTGTCATAAGTGGTTTACATAGTTATTTTATTTGATAATTAAAATTAATTTGTGTATTTGTTTTTAGGGTTATGTGTTTAACTTTGAAAGCAGTTCCAACTTTTATGTAATGCAGTGGATTTTGTCTTATGACTTCTAAATTTATTTTTCAAATAAACTCAATAACCTGGACATTTATTTTTGTTATTTTTATTTTTTAATAGAGATGGGGGTCTCATTTTGTTGTCCAGGCTGGTCTCTAACTATTGGCCCCAAGCAACCCTCCCAGTTTGGTTTCCCAAAGTGCTAGGATTACAGGCATGAACCACTACACCTGGCCGACCCTGACATTTAGATTGCTGTGGAAATACAAGTTACAATGGAATAAATAAAAGCTGGCAATGCACTCATTTGAAAGTTATAAATATTGAATGTATAAAAAGCCTATAATTTTATGTGAATTAAATGTTTTCTAGTGATTAACTTCAGAAATTATCAAAAGAAAATACATGATGTAAAAGATCTTTCAATAATAAATAACTTACAGTTTTAAAATTTTTTATAAATAATATTTTTAAAAATTATATTCATTTTTTATTCTTACCTTTACTTCCTTACTGGAATCAAGGAAAGTAATTAGTATAAAATCCTTTATTGCCAGCTTTTTTCTAATCACAGATACATTAACCAAATGGTAAGAGTTTTGGATGTACTGAATGTTCATTCTAAATAATCACCTAAAAAGTAATCTGCTGTATAAATTTCGTATGAGAAGAGTGTGAAATGTGTTTTCTAACATTAGTTTGATTGTTTATATCCACTGTAAGGTTAGTCCTTTCAAATTTAAATTACGCAAGGACAAATCTTTCTTATAAAACAGTTGCACCTATATACAGTATGTAGTAGGGCTTCTGAATGGTGGCCTAGTGAAGTTGATCAGAATATACTGATGCTTAATTAATGTACCACCAAAACTAATATACTTATGTTGGAGAGGAAGTCTGAATCTTTATGCAGTACAGAATCATTCTTTTGGAAATAGGTATCTTGCAGTATCAGCCACTGAAAACATCACTGTGCCTTCAATTATAATAATAAAATGGTGTGTGTTTCAGAAAAATTGTGCTCCTATAATGCATGTGTTTATATCATTTCTCACATTCTGGCTTTTAGTATGGTGAATTAGTTTCTTACCCAGTACTCAGCCCCTTGTGACAGAACCCATCTCCTCTCCATAGTAGTCATTACAGGCGTTCCCTGAGACATGTGCTCAACACAGATCTCTTATTCTTCTCATTAGTACTAGTAGGCTTTTGTTACCCATGGGAAGAGTCTTGGTCATAGAAAAAATACTACAAACTTCTACTCTAGTGCTTAAAGTTATGAATCATAAACTTCATTGTTACGTTTTATTTTTAGTATTTTATTTTCAGCCATTTTTACTTGAAGCTTGTTTTTAATCAATATGCAGATCTTATTTGTAATTGCACTAATTTTTAAAACTAAGCCGTTTTTACTTTATTTTCTTTTTGTAAATCTGACAGAATTCTGTCATTTGTTCATTTAATTGGTTAGGTTTCTTTAGATATATCAACTTATGACAAAATAGTAAATTTTATTCTCTCAAAGTCGCTCGAATTAACCAGATTTGTGATCCTGACAAATACAAATCAATCACTTTATAAATGCAGAGAGTAAGTATTATTAAAATTAAGTATTGTAAACATTCTAAATAAATACAAAATTACATATGATTTCAAAAGGTCTTACTACTTTTGTATAAACTAAGCTTATTAAAAATTACACTTATTTTTAGCTGTCACACACATGGTAATTCAAATTTGCTCACCCAAATAGAATTACCATTCTATTGAAAAGTCAAGACTACAGCAGGTTCTACCAATAAGAGAAACTCTGGTTTTAAGGCACAGGACTGGACACAATTTCCAGAACTTAGCTGCCAGGAGCTCTGGGGTGGACATTATGGTATTGCTAATTCACTTGAGTGAGGCTTTTTTTTTTGAGATGGAGTCTCACTCTGTTGCCCAAGCTGGACTGCAGTGGCAGGATATCAGCTCACCGCAACCTCCACCTCCCGCGTTCAAACTATTCTCCTACCTCAGCCTCCTGAGTAGGTGGGATTACAGGCACATGCCACCACGCCCGGCTAATTTTTGTATTTCTAGTAGAGATAGGGCCTCACCATGTTGGCCAGGCTGGTCTCAAACTCCTGACCTCAGGTGATCCATGCCCCTCGGCCTCTCAAAGTGCTGGGATTACAGGCATGAGCCACCACACCCGGCCCTGATTGAGGCTTCCTAAACATTCTTCAATCCAACATGCAATGAGGTACCTTTCAAACTGGTTGGAGTGATTTTCTGCCCCTCAGAATCTTGTTTTTTACATAAAATTTAAGGTAACCTATTACATTAAAGACCAAAATTTATTAATAGAAATCTAAGTCTCTTGCCCAGGCTATAATTGTGCTTCTTTTCCGTTTTATTATGTGTCTCATCACTTTCTGGTTATTTAATTGACTCAAAGTATATATCTACCATATTTCATAGTCAAGCACATGGTACTGTTAACCTAAGAACAGGGTCATGTTTTCTTCCTAGAGGTGTGTCCAGAATTTTATGTCTTGGGTAAATTCGTGTGTCAGTGATTGTGAAGTTCTCAGACAAATAAGTCATGTGAGCTCATTGTGTTAAGTGTTTAAATCAGTTTATATCTTTCTTTTTGTCAGCCCTTCTAACCAGTTTTTTTGCATATCATCCTGTTCTTGAGATCTTGTATTCCTTTTTAGTTGATATTTGACTCCCCTAAAAGCAGCATTGCATCGGTTTCGCTATGTAACTTCTCCTGTAATTGGTACTGGAAACCTCTATGAGCCCTAATTCACTGGCCACTTTGAAGAGTGCTCGTTTATATCCTCTATAATTAAGATGGTTTCCACTTACTCTAAAATACTCTTGTTCTCCTTTGGAAACTCAGTTTTGCAATTATGCAAAACTGTTTGTGTTTTGAACTGCTGAAGATAATGAAGTTTAAGATGGTAAAATATAAAACTTAGGTAAAAGTTTGTTTTGCATACCATTTAGAAGTGACCATAATATCCCTGTCTTCACTGAAAATCCTACAAGCAACAGTGTAAGAAACATCCAATGTTCTAAAATAGGACCATATATGAATTTACAGGGAACAAATTCCATGGAATGAAGAATAAAACTATGCTGTGACTGTAGTTTCATGCTACTCTTTATAAGACTAACATGCAAAAGTCTTCCTACCTTGTATTAATAGTTACTCTTAATTTATCATTTTCAAAGTATGGATGCCATAAATGAGACTTGTGTGATTCAACAGATAAGGAAAGCTTGAATCACCTTTATGAAAAAACATCAAATAAAAAACCAAAATACTGGTCAAGTACAGGGTATTCAATTTACAAATATTTTTCTGGTTGTAAAATATGCGGCAATATCCTTGAAATTTTAAGACTCTGGGAGTGAATTTATTTTGGCAGTGCTAATGTCTATCATCCTTATTAAACAGTTGCCATTAAATTAACATTACAACCAAACTAGTCCTCAAACACATGCCATTCAATTAAGATTAGCACTAAACTAGTCCTCAAGTCATGGCACTGGGGACATTCTGTAAAAAGTAGTTCACCCATATGTTTTCCATGGTGCTGCCATTTTTGAATACATATTTAAAGGGAACAAATTATATTTTATGACATACCTTTCCTGCCCAAAGACGTTGGGACCAGTCATTAACAGAGGCAAAGGCAGCTAACATTTCTTCTAGGCTTTCTTTCTCTGACGTTTTCTACTGGTTCCCTAAGCCTTGTCCCCATTCAGACATGAATTTTGTGTGATGGCTTCTTAGCTGGTCTTTCAACCCTGGGTCTGGAGAAAGTGAGCATTGTGAAAGAAAAGGCACTTAGATCTCATTCTCTCATGCAATCAGTTTAACAATATTCCATTGTGCACCTACTCTGCTCTAGGTACTGTGAATAAGAAAAAGGAAGTTCTTTTTAATTGACATTTCCGCTAATGTCAGAATTTATATGTGTAATGACAAAGTCACCTAACATTCAGTCCTTATGTACAAAATCGAAGGGATTGGAACAGAAGATAATCTTGAAATTTCCCAGCAGCTCTAAATTTCTGCCTGTATGTTTCAGTGACTTTCCCCAAGTTTACCTGTGGATATATTCTCCACAGTAACAAGCTTTTTCTGCTCCTCCTCATTCTATGCAATTGCCATCTGTCCTGAATGT